TTATGAAATGCTTAAATGAATATATAATAGGTATACAAAAAAATCCCCCTTCGTTTGCATTAAGTATAGCTCTAAGCTTAATTTAAATATTAATAAACAATAAATAAGGCAAGTTAAGTGATTAAGATATCGATGATGTTGCATTATTTAACAAACAAATAATAAACCGAAACGCTGGGAAATCTCCGATATAATACACCTGATACATAGACCCGGCCACGTAAGCGTTTTGGGGGTCACAAATCTGACACTTTCTCTGTAGTTTTCTCTCCTCTCTCTGGTAGCATTTAGCACACAAATAATACAAAATCTTATAAATACATTTTACTTTTTTATTATTTTTTCGTACGGTCGGGGTCACCAGAATGCAAATATCTGTAGATCTGTGTTGTTTCTCTTATTGTTAATTTCACTGACAGCCAGTGCATCGTCTAGAGTTGAGGGCCTTAATTCGTTTACATTTTTATGGCCCTTCGGCTGGCCCGTGTGTTGATCCAGCCATAGTGGCAAATTCTAGGTATCAGTAGCTATTATATAGTCCCCCATGTGTATATGGTGCCTGGCAGCGGGCGCCCTAAGGCCCAGAGATAAACACTTTAAATCAAACTCCCTCCGTCCGCCCCAGGCAGGTGGTGGTTGTACACACACAATTAAAATACAAAATAAATACGACAAAAAAATAGTACAATCAAAAGCGGATCAAACAAAAGCAAGTGCTTTTGGCTACTGCCTTTTGGGCCATGCCATTTGCATAGAACACAGAGCTCAGAACAAAGAGCCCAGGGACAGTTTGTGGCAGTTTCTAATTGTTGTGTCATATCCCCATTGTCCCGATCCCAATCGCAATCCCTCTATCCCTCCTCGGGCACTACGAAACCTGTTCGAATCAAAAAAACAATATTCTTTGCAATGAAAAACCACTCAAGCAGACAGATAGTTCCTCACTCCCTCGGCATCGTCTTCCAATTGATGAAATGACAGCTTCCGATCGTGTGCGATCCTCCAAACAAAGCTGACAAAAAATCTAGGTAGTCTAGTGGAGACTTTACCTGATATCTCCAAGTAATATCTAGAGCTTGATCTTAATATAATAAATAAAATTCTTACCATTTCCACTTAAGCTCTGAGTTTACAGGAGTAAACAGTTTTTGTCTTAATCTATTGAAGCTACAAAAAAGGATGTCCCCAAAAAGTATACTATGATTTAAGGTGACCAAGTCAATAGCTCAAGTATTGAAAATAAATAAATAAACATCATAATAAGTAAACCAGAACCACAAACCTCAGTGAACCAATTCTCTGGAACCATTCATGGCATCTCCATGGGCAACGTCGCCATCTCCATCCCTTTTTTTAATGACGTAGTGCCTCAAAGGTCCAACGGGTTGATTGGCTTCGGTTCTAACCAGTTCGCACTGGTGTTCCTCTTTCTCCCTGAACATTGGGCATTGAATTGATTTCTGATTTCTGCTTAAGCCCCACACGCTTAGTCACCAATGGCTATGCTGCTCTTCCTCCCAGCTGCATAAGATACATCTGTATATATCTCTTACAACATACAAATATATATATATGTATATATGTATATAGGAACCACTGTATATGCCTCTTGTGCGAGATCTTGTATTTTTCCCCCGATCTTAATTGTTATTGAGCATGCAATGATTAATCAAGCCAGCGAATAAAAGCTGTGCCTATTCTCGTGTTCGGTTTCGGAGAAGAGTTGAGGCAGGGGTTCCAGGGTTTTTGGACAATAGACACTACGTAGCCGGGAATGACTGGGCATTTAGGAGAGAAACAAACAAGATGGACTCACGTGACCAACGATATGGAGATGGAGATGGAGATGGAGATGGAGATGGAGATCGAGATCGAGATCTCTATCTGCGTCAGAGACACCAGCAGCAGTCATTCAGTGGTGGGTATTAGGAAAAAGCCCCCAAAAGCTAAGCCAATTATAATGTTGATGTTTTGATCGTTATAATGTTGCGACTTAAGCGAAATGACAGATCATAAACCTAAAGATAGATCTGGGGTGATAAGACCCCAAGACTCACCTTCATAAAGTAGGATCAGGTGGGGGATTACATAATTGGAGGGGAGATAGATACCTAGACAGGCCCTCATGGATCCACTGATCAATGGCATATCAATGAAAGATACTCTGATTAGTTCATCAGTTTCCCCAAGATCATCTCTCAATGATCACAATCAATGCATGGTTTCTTCCTGAATGTGCACTATTTTCAAATAAATAAAGCCCTGAATGGAGTGGCTAATTCCTTCATTTCCGTCTCCCTTCACTGGCAGAAGTCTCTAGATATTCCAAATTCCAGATTCTACAAGACTAGCAGATTTATGCCTGATAAGCCCAGTAAGCCGGAGAAGATAACAGAACGGAGTGGAGGAATATCTCCGTGTGGGTGGCCCATAAATCTCCAGTGGCAGCGACCACACAGAAAAATATAACAAAAAATATATAAAAAAAATATAAGAAGAAGGCAAAACATCAACAAACTTTAAGCCGCAGCCCCCATAAAGTCCACACAAATTTCCACTGACGTCAGTTCCACATGCGGAGTAAGCACACACAGAGATCCCATGGAGGAGGTGGAGCAGGAGGAGCTGCCAGTGGAGCTGCGATAGCTACAACTACCTGATGATGGCTTGACTTTGACTTTGATGGGCCTTGGGCCAGTCAAAGGACACACACCGCTGAAGCTGTCCAAAAAATAAGAGGAACTGTGCCTGGTCACGAGGGCTGACAGCTGCTGTCGCGGATGGTGAAGCCAGGAGAGTGATCCGATCTCCGCCAGCGTTGGCAGCCGACAGTTGGGCAAACATTTCTGAACTTGGGCGATGGGATGACGATGATGTTGAAAGCCGCTGCTGTTGGGACAATATTTGCCTTTCTCCACTCGAATTGCGAAAGATTGAGGGCCGAAAATAAGTGACTCCTCGCTCGATTATTTTTAACTGATCCACATTACATTGAAGGAGTAGTGACTTGGGTGTAGTGCCAAGGGTATTCCCAAACAAACTCCATGGAAAAATCTTTGAATAAATGGGAAATCTCTGAAGATTCTCCAGACATTTCCAACTAAAGTGTGACACACACAATGTGCGTTTTTTTGGGGAGACTTTCAAATCACTTAACTCTCGATACACTCCCATGGCTGCGGAAAAAACCTTTGCACACTAGAAAGAACACACAATTTGTATGAAATGGAAATGGAGGAATTACGTAGATCTTTCGCCGCCGCCGTTGGGGTGAGCGGTACAAGGTCTATGGGGGACAAGACACGCAAATAATACGAATACGTCCCGGGGCACATGAACATGCCAAGTGGCCAAGTGGCCAAGTGGCCAAAGTGACAAAAGATCGAAGGCGAGAGGGAGGGCACACGCACACTCGGAGATGCCATTTAATATTTAATATATAAACACAGTTTATTCGCAGAGCTATTTCTGTTTACGCCTGGATATTGTTGACGTCCGATTTATTCTTTATTTTCGTTTTCAGTTCGAGTGCGAAAGCGAGTCCATTCCGATTCGATTCGATTTCGATCGGTTTAATTCATGGTACTCTTGCCTCGCATGTGTTTTAAGGTTGTCTATAGAGCGACAAATAGATCAGGATTTAATGGGATTATATACTTGCACTTGTTTTAATTAGGAGAATGGGGTGTATTTAGGTATTTCAATATTTTTTATTGCATTTTTATAACCCTGTAGGGCATTATTCTTTCAGTCAGAAGCATGCAAACCAGTGAAGGAGTCATTTCCGACCCTATAAACCATATATATTCTTGATCAGCATCAAAAGCCCAATCGATCTAGCTTCTTTTAGAAGGAACAATTTTTGGACAATTTTTTTTCAAAATTTGATAAGGTTTTTTTTTCATTATTAAAATGGTCAAAAATTGAAAAATTTTAAATTTGTTAAAATTAAAAATTGAGTATGCAGATTTATTAACCTAATAAAAACTAACATAAAACTGCTTTCCGAATTAAAATGAATCCATTTTTGTCTTAGATATGAGTTTTTAAACTTTGATTTGTCGGAAAAAATTTTCTAAAATATATATATTTAAAATTTATGATTTTTAAAATTATCCCTTAATTATGAACAATTTTGGCAGACATTTCTGTGCGTAAACAGCCACTAACCTGGTCCAAACCGAAACTATTAACTGGTTCTCACCCGTTTTTTCAAAATCAAATCCAAATCCAGCTGCTGGCCGATGACTAAGCGATTCATAACGTTTCTATGGGTATATTTGAATATGCTGAGTTTTTAAAATATTTTTTTAATTAGGATAATCTTGAAATAAATGTGTGGTCAACAATAGATATTTTTCCAACTCGAATTAAAATTAATTTATAGAGCTTACATACAGATCTTAATAATAAAAGTTCATCCCTATTTGATTTATAATATTTTCTTAATTAAACATATCAAAGATTTTCTATAGAAGATTTTTCTAATCAGTCAAGGCCTAAAATAAGTTCCTTCCTGTTCTCAACCGTTTAAGAAATAACGTATTTATATATTTATTATAATTAAATTGTTACAAACAAAAAGGAAACAAGCAAACGAGCAATGAAAGATTGAAAGTGTTGCTTTTATTATTATTATTTTATTTTAATTATTTTTTTTACGAACGACGGACACACTTTGTTGCGATTACAGGTTGCGGCTTACGAGGCAGATAAGAGCACCGGCGGCGGCGGCGAAGAGCGCTGTGTTTTGATTTTGATAAGCATCTCAGCATCGCAGATGATGCTTCTTGGTTTATTTTTTGTTTAATATTTTTTTTACCCCCGATAACGTCACGAGAGTGAGAGAGAGAGTGAGTGAGTGGGAGAGAGAGGGCAAAAGAGAGGTGATCACCAAACAGAGATCCCAATCCCCAAGAGCGAGGCATCCAAGAGCGGGGAGGCATCCATCCGCTTATAAAAGCGCCGGCCAAACGTCACTTGGAACGCATTGTCCAATCGCTCTTGGAGCCGCGTGGAGCTCCTCCAATCAGTGATCTACATCTCGATCCGTGTATTCGAACCGAGTCCTCTTTTCGTGCAGCGACAGCATCGTCCTCGCCAGGAGCCAGCAGTAACAGTAGGTAAGGATCTAAAGTATCTATCCATCCAAATCCAAAAGATACTTTAGTATCTATGGGATATAGGGGAAGGGAAACCCCATGCCCAAGGATACCATTACAATGGGCAAGGTGACTCATCATCGTCGTTGCCTCCTTCTTCCTGTTCACATAAAATCTTATCGGAATCTTGACACTTCCGAGGATGCATTCTTTTCTGGGCATTATTCCACATTCGTGATTACATTTGTAATTCCCTCTGTAATTCGGTATTTCTGTATTTCTGTATTTGTTTTCATTTCTCTTTTGTATTTATTTGAATTTCTTATTGTTTGCCGTTTGCTTGGCATAACAAAAAAAAGGAAAAAACTCGCATAAATTATTTATGCAAACTAAATTGTCGCACGCCCGACATGTATTAACATATTCTTTTTTTCTCCCAATCCCAAAAAATACGGAATAAAAATCGGAAGGCAGGCGGCAACACCTGTGAAAGATTAATTATAAAAACAAAAATGTTATATTCCGAGATCAAGCCTTTATTTTTTGCGAAAGCCTGCCCCTTGAAAAAATTTGCCTGTTTTTTTGTCACTTGAAACAATGACTCATTTCAGGTTGCCTTAATCTGGCTTTGACCTTAAATTATTTACAGGAAAAATAATATTCGGAACTTTAGGCCTTGACTAGAATTTTGTTATAGTGGAATATGTAGATTAATTAAGGGTCAATACATTTTATTGTGAGTTTCCTTTGCAGCAGAAAAAAATCCTTAAAAGGAAAGCTTCTGTAAACCTTCCGATTTCTTTTCGTAGATTCCTTAATTCCTTAAAGAAACCTCTTTAATTTTCATAAAAACCTCATAAAGTAGAAAATCCTGTGCAAATTCTATAATTTCTTTTCTTTTTTAATATAATCATAATAATCATAAGCTTTTCTTTAAAAGAAAGTAATTCTTCTCAATAAATAATTTGTTTTCTATAAAAATGAACCCCTTATTAAGCTTCCTGATTTCTTCCTGGTTATGAAATTCACCTGAGCAATTCCTTAGAAGCCCAAAAGCACTCATATAATCAGTTGATTCATACCGATCGAGAATAGCTTTGGCCTGCCTGTTGCTGGGTGAGAGGACTCACTGTGACAGAGGAGCTCCGGCGATCATGAGGGGAGCATTAGTCATCTTTATTTATTTTGAATTATCGGGAATAGAGCCCCCAGCTTCCAACCCAGTACTAGCCGACTTTTGTTTTCGTTTTGCACATTGTTTTTTCTTTTTTTGTCAATTGAAAGTGGAAATTAATTGAAATGTTTGTGCAAGAAGCAAGACTAATGGATGGATGGGCTTTGGGGTTGGGGATTCTTCTCAATTGAAGACCAAGATGAGGAAATAAGAATCCGATTCGAACGAGTTTCGAGCGCACGCAGTTTGATTAAAATTCAGCGATCAGACAGTATATATAATATATATAATATTGGAGCAGATAAATGTGCATATACAATTATGTACATACACTATATATGTCTGTCTGTAGGGGAGTGAATATATATATATGGACCCATCTGTGCCCGTCGCCTGTGTCATTGTTCGTAGATTAAACTCACCCATTGCCATACTATATACAAAAATAAATATATATTTTTAAAGAATACAAAAAATATTACGCCCCGAATTGAACTCAGCGAGTGCAGCAAGCATTTGTATCTCTATCTTCTGTATTCATGGGATAAGTTCCAAAGGGTTCCTTAAGGTTTCAAAGTTCATTAAAGTTAGATGAACCGGACCTAAATGAATCCTCTTTAAACTTCAATTTAAAATTTACTGAGTTTCAGATCAGTTTTAGATGCAATTTATCAAAAATATTTATACTTAAGTTAGTTTTATAGTTTACTAAATGACAATAAGAAGTGTGCATATGAACCCTTAAGTAATTACAATCTTCAAAAGCTTATCCAACATTTTCCCCATAAAGAAGTATTGTTAAATGCAAGACATACATTTTTTTAGGTTGTATAGTTAAAGTCACGTTTTATAGTTATTATCTCAAAAATAAAACTTCATTGTTACGAGAGTCAGTAATTAGGCTGTCCATCATCCAGCATAATAATCAATTATCCGTTTTACAATACCGAATAATGCCCGCGATCAGTGACAGTCCGGAGAGGTAAATTTCAAATTTCAAAAATGTCTATCTAATTAATTTAATTGTGGGCGGCCCCCAAATAAGCAAATATTATTAAGTGAGGGAACGAACAAAGAACACGTTCCGCACTGAATTTTCTGTGTGGGTCAGAGGTGCGATAATTCGCCAAATGAAGCGACCACAAATTAGCGTCAAGTTTGGGCCCCATAAAAGCCCCTAATCAGCCATTATGCAAGTCGAATCTCTGAAGAAAGGAAGACCAGTGGGAAAGGGGGAAAGTCACGTCTTGCAGCGTTCTGGAAAACTGCATAAGAGTGTAGATTGGGGTTTTATGTTTCAATTTATAAATGCCAAAAGAGGGCTGAGTCAGTGGGTGAAACTCCCACCGAAATGCGGCCAGTAATTAAGCAATTAGGCAAGCGATTTCATGATATAATAATACCAAATGAACCACTTGAGAAGCGTTAATAGATCAGCATTCATATATATACATTATATAGGCTTCATTATTATTTTTTGAGTATTTTTTTGAGCATTTTTCGAGTCTGACAGTCAGTCACATGGCCAGCTTACACGATCATTGCTCGCTGCTGCTTTCGATCGAAGTTTCGATAATGCGGCTATTAAATCTCAAGTTTAATTCTTTTTTGATCACTTGAGCCGATCACTGATGCCTGTTGCCGTTAATTGTTGGCATCCCCAGTTCCCAATACTTTTTTTTTATTTTTGTCACCCGATCTGCCAGTTATAACGTTTTGGTTAACCATCGTTACGCGATCGTTGAACGATTATAATGAACCTGACTCACCAGTCAGTCAGATCGTTGATCGATTTTATACAGGGATCAAGGTGGAACATGATCACTCAAGATTTGATATTTGAGGAGGAACGAAATGGGAATTACTATTATTATCCTGACTCATTACAGAATATTACAGTTGGTATAATAAATTCTTTAAATATCTACTTACCCTTTGTTATTGATGTTGGGTAGCTTTTCTTCTCGGCGTTATCACTTAATTGATTTCGCATTCCCGCTCGTTCGCAGTTTGAATTTCAATTAACAGGCGCGCGCGCGATCACTGGGGAACACTCGGCAATGGAACATTCCCATTCGTTTCCCCTTTGGAGCTTGCCTGATAAGCCGCGTTCCACTGCCACCTCGTTCCGGCTAATGCGATTTTGAGCGGTGTATTTAAGCAGGCGCCCAGATTTGAATGCCGCTCAGATACTTTCGCATCGCCGTTCCCAACCGCAACGTAACGCAACGCTCTCGCTCGCTAAAAAACAACAAAAAATATTAAAAAGAAACAACAAAGTAACGCAAACGAAAACAAATATCCAAGCTATCGAAATTCGACTCCGGTAATTTGGCCCTGCTCCTTGCTATTTTTGTTTACCCTTCTGTACCGTATCCGCGAATTGGCTTTAATGTGTTCGCCAGTCTGCAATTGCGATTGCCAAACAAAACTAAGAACTCCGCGCTCGGACAACGCCAAGATCCACTATAAGCAGAAACACAAACAGTCGCTGAGCTGACAAAACAAATTTCTAAATACATTTTTTATAAATTAAAAAAAAAACATTCAAGGGAAAACCTTCAACATCACCGAACAAGTGCAAAATACAGGGCTTACATTTTACATATTTTTAAAGTGCAATAAAACCTCAATATTATTAATAACCTTTTCAAAAAAAATACGCAAACAGAAATAAAAGCTAATTGCCAAACAGAGAGTGAGAGAAAGACACAGGTGCAAAACAGAAACCGAGAACCGAGTGCAATCCACCTGAAAGGTAAACGAAATGCGAAACCAAAAAATCATTTAGCTCAAAATGGGGAAAATTAGCAAATCCTCGAATTAATTAGCAGACTCTCAAAAGATCTAGAAACTGGGATTGAGAAAATCCCAGGGTGGGACATACTTATAACAATTACAAACATATAACCAAAAATTATACATTTCAAGAGGAAAATAAATTATATTACCGTCATATTAGTATTAATCTGAGCTTCACACCTGATTTAGAAAACCATAAATCGTTTTTACAATGTATCATTGAACTCTGTTATGGGAACCACAGATATAAATAAAATACTTTATATAAATCTTTCATCAAATATTTAAAAATCTAGAGAGTCCCCAATTTAATACCAAAATAGTACTATTTTTCACACATTTTAAATAACTTACTCAGTTTCCTGCTGTAAAAGTCTATATTGAAATCGTTGTCCAAAGTGTTCGTCTTGAAGAAGCTACGAATGCATCATTGAACTCTAATATGGTTTTATGTACCTACATTTTTTTCTGTTAATTGGTTCAATATTGATATTGATAAATCTTTCATCAAATATTTAAAAATCTAGAGAGTCCCCAATAAAAGTAGTATTATTTAATACCAAAATAGTACTATTTTGCACACATTTTAAATAACTTACTCAGTTTCCTGCTGTAAAAGTCTATATTGAAATCGTTGTCCAAAGTGTTCGTCTTGAAGAAGCTACGAATGCATCATTGAACTCTGATATGGTTTTATGTACCTACATTTTTTTCTGTTAATTGGTTCAATATTGATATTGATTCATTGTTTTAATTAAACCTTTTTCAAAACAGACCACCACCTCAAGGGCCTTGAACTTGAAGGGGAAAACAAAGTCTGGAAGGTTTTTGATGTAAATTCGAAAATCCGAAAACCCCATGAATCATATTTCACAATTTTCGCACTGCTTTGGTTATCGACATGATGAGAATTAGTTTTTCTCTTCACATTTTTCCCATTTGATGAGTTTCCGATATGATCTCGAGCTCACTTTTATGTGCTAATTAATGTGAGATATGCGAAAGGCGCAAATAATAATGCAAAATCAAAGCAAAGCTAAACTAAACCATAAATGCATCGGATGACATTGGGGCGCCTTGGCGAGCGAGTATCAATGTAATATAAATAATGCTGGGAGAGACCTGAGACCAACCAAGTCCGGAATGCTCCATTCACACGCAGTTTTTCCAGTTGCGCTGCTTTAATTGCGATTGGAAAAGACAATCATTATAATGCGACGACCGACCGACAGACGGACGACTTGTTAAGCAGCAAACTGGAAACGAGTGCGTTTTATGGCGCTATCTATCCATACAGTCCAGCATAGAAAACTCAAGTTACTGCTCACAACTTGGATATTCGCAAGTAACACAAAAGTTGTTAATTAGCTATGGGTTGTTTATAGAATTTATGGCCATTTAAGTGGCCCATGAGTATAGGTATTTATCTACTTAATGATTAAATTAAAGATCAGATGTATCGAGTGGCGACTGTATATTTCATCAGCCTAGAATCAAGCTCTATGGAGCATCGTAGGGGAAATGGAAATGGAAATGGAAATAGGGGTGGTACCAAGGCCAGGTGAAGGGCTGGGCTGCAAAATGGTTATAGGGGAGGCTTGGACTAGACTGGACTGGACTGCGGAAGCAGCGTGGGCGTCCAGGGCATAAATCAGCATATATTCATATTAAACATGGTTAATTGTTGGCTATTAACGCTGCAATTTGATTGAGATGTCGAACTGGAACTTGATTGAGCAGCGGAATGCCATGGGAATGGAACAAAGTCAGCCAGGAGTGACGGCCATTAGCTGAGTGCTGTGAAACCTGTTCCTACAATAGGAAGAATCATATTCTTAAATAAATTCCACATTTTAATATATCCCCCAAAGAGGTTCTCAATATGTTACAGGTTTTTGATTTTAAAAGTAACTATATTATTTTTGCAAGTGCATTTCGTTGCGCTTTCGGTTCCTGTTCTCCTTCAATGCACTTTGCACATGCGTGCATTGCCTGTCATCTGGACAGTTTCAGTTTCAGGTTCAATGCGAATTGAATTGAATCGAATAATTGTTGTTGCCTTTGCCTAATGAATAAAGTGAAAGATTGCAGCGATAAATCACAAATTGAAATGAGTGAGAGTGCAAAAGAAAGGCAAGAAAAGTCGCACAAGGAGAGTGATTGCTTCACTGTTAATTAACAGCTGCTCACCGGAAGGCCTTTTTTGTCTCTCTCTCTCTCAGTCTCTTTGTCTCTGTCTCGCTCTCTTTGTGCCATTTTTGGACTTGACTTGAAGGCAGCAATTACTTAAATGGGTATTTATTGAACATGGTGTAAACTGTTTAGCTTGCTTAATGGTCGAAAAACAGCGACTTTGGCTAAGTGACCACGCTTCGCTTGATAGCATCCTCGTGCATAACATAACATCAATTATAACAGTGCTGTCTTAACAGTGCGTAACGGTGATCAGTGGGAAGTGGATAGCACTGGAAGGTAGTGGAAGGATGGGAAAGAGGAAATGAGCCCATGGAAGTGGTAATGTGGGAACTTAAAGGGGATCAAGCTTATATTAAATAAATTTATTTTACCAGCTAATAATTATTAAGATTAATATAATTTCCTATTGGAAAAGTTTGATAATCAAAAGGAATTTAAAGAGGGTGGCGCCCCTGCCTGCTGACCAATGACATTCAACTATTTTGAACGCATTTACAGTCCCCCACAATTATTTATTAATAAAAATTGCAGAGAGCGGAGGGGGTTTTTTCACGCCTTGCTTAATTCTCGTGCTCGCGACTATTTCGGGGGCATAATTTTTTATTAATCAATTACAGACTGTTGTTTGTGCCGCCAATTAGATGTCGATGGCAGAGGAGTCGCGCCTCGTTTCGTCTCGTTCAGTTTTCAGAGTCATTCAGCTCAATTGCGACCAATTGCTTCCATTTAACCCGCTCTCGATACCGATAACTAATCGATAAACCTCACTTTCATTCATTGCAGATCGCTAAGCGAGACAGACACAACTGTACCCGTCTTCTAAGCAGAGCTTAGAAACACAAAACAAAAACAAGGAAAACCCGAAAACCAAAACCGACATTTTTCCCATTTCCTTTTTGCTACGCGCACAAGAAGCCAACAAACCCCTGAACTATAGAATGGTAGAAGGTGATTCCGCAAAGGGCAAAAGCGAATGTAAGTACATATATGTATATAAATATTAAAATAACTAGTTATAAAAAGAAACGATATTTTTATATGACAATTTTACCGACAAATCAAAGTTTAAATAACGCATAACTCAGCCAAAAAAGGTTTAATTTCAATTCGGAAAGTTGTCCTATGCTAGTTTTTACTAGGTTAAAAAATCTGCTTACTCAGTTTATAATTTAGATCAATTTAAAATTTTGCCAAATTTTTAGCATTTCAATTATGAAAAAAAAAACTTAAAAAAAATTATAAAAAAATTGTCTAAAATGTGTTTCCTCCAAAGGCAGCTAGATCGATTCGGCTTTTGATGCTGATCAAGAATATATATAATTTATAGGGTCGGAAATGAGTCTTTCATGAGTTACAAGCTTCTGACTGAAATTATAATACCATTCTTTGAACCGATATTTATATATTTTTCATATAACAAATTTCTCTACAAATCCAATCTTAAAAAACTCATAACTCAGGCAAAATTGAATTAATTTTAATTCGGAAAGTTGTCCTATGCTAGTGTTTACTAGGTTAAAAAATCTGCATACTCAGTTTATACTTTAGAACATTTTAAAATTTTGCCAATTTTTGACCATTTCAATTATAAAAAAAAACCTTAAAAAATTTGGAAAAAAATTATCAAAAAAATTTTCCCTCCAGAGATGGCTAGATCGATTCGGCTTTTAATGCTGATCAAGAATATATATGATTTATAGGGTCGGAAATGACTCCTTCATGAGTTACAAGCTTCTAACTGAAATTACAATACCCCTGCAAGGGGTATAATTATAATATCTTGCAATAATATAAATAGCTCCCTTAACACATCCCCAACAATCTTTCCACATCACTCTTTCACATCTTTATATCCCTCTATCCCTTAGCCTATAATGTAGAAGCTGGACTACAACCGAACTACAACCAGAGCGCAGCAAGCAACCAAGCAACCAACGCCAACGCTGGCCACCACCAACCCGCTGGCCAGACGCACTCGATCGCCTCGAACGCCTCGACGCACATCGACAACCGAGCGATCATCCAGCCGTACTCCCTGGGCACCGGAGCCAAGCAGCCGGAGTATCAGTTCGCGGCGGACAACCGCGCGTACGAGCCGGACAACCATGCCAATGGCAAGCAGCAGGACGTAGAGCGTGCCGCCGGCGGAGATGCACCCGATGGACGCGGTCCTGCCGGGGGCCCGGGCAAGGGGCGCAAGAAGTCGGCACCGCTGCCGGAGCCAACCACTCCGATAGTGGCCAACTTTGAGCGGGCCATCGAGCTGTGCGGCTATGGCAAGTTCCACTACATTCTGTTGGCCATCTGCGGCCTGGTCAGCACCTCCGAGGAGATGGACGTCATCTCGATGTCGTTCATCCTGCCCTCGGCGGAGTGCGATCTGGACCTCAACACGGAGACGAAGGGCTGGCTTAACTCGATCATTTTTATCGGCATGATGGTGGGCGCCTATTTCTGGGGCAGCATTGCGGACAGCTTTGGCCGCAAGAAGGTACTCATTGTCATCTCGTTCATGAATGCCCTCTGCATTGTCGCCTCGTCCTTCTCGCAGTCCTACACCTTCTTCATGCTGTTCCGGTTTCTCAATGGTGCAGCGTAAGTATCTATATCCTTCTTCTAATACATTAAGTCCACTAAAGCTCCTTAAAAGTTTCTCAAAATCTCTCAAGAAACAACCAAAATTGATGACCTTTTAAGTCATACAAAATGTATGAAAAGGTATGCGTAAACTTGAGATATCAAAAGTATTTAAAATCTCTTTGATATTAGATATCTTTTAGATATAACAGCCTTACAAATTATAGATTTTTCTATAGAATTTATAGAGAATACAGTCAAAAATATATTTGACATCGGTTTTCCCACCCAACCAATGAAAGTTTAATAGCCGAAATTATAGATATATAGAATATATATCTTTTAGATATTAGAGCTTTAAAAAGTATTGATTTTTCTATAGAATTTATAAATAATACCCTCAATAATATATTTAACATTGGTTTTCCCACCCATTCAATTAAGTTTTATAACCGAAAATTCCCCCAGAATGTCCCCTGACATGTTGAAGACATCAAATAATAGCCTTGTTGCCTTATTGAATGTGCCAAAAATACCGAAATGATGAGAATCTACTCTTCATATTCGTCGATATATATATTAATATATCTTTGACTTCACTTGCTAGTGTGGATCGAGTGACACACGGGCCCGGACCCAAAACGGGGCAAAGTGTTAATTCAATTACCTCTGTTATAAATAACAACAACAATATTTGAGCCGCAATATCGTGACTGTTTATGCTAATTAAAGGCTCGAATCCAACATCCAAAATGCCCAAAAAAAAAAAAAAACCAAGTAACCAAAACAGTACAAAAAATGGAAAATCTCTCGGCACAGGCCTTGGCCCCTCTGCCATTCAGTGGGTTACATGGATGGCGCTTAGTCACTTCGGTATTATTATTATTTTTGCCAATCGTCCGCTAATTAACCCATCGAGACCGACAACAATTATTTTGCAATATATTTTTGCTTTACTATGGAGAGATGGAATTTCCCTTTTAAGGATTACCCGCGAGATCATTCTCTTTTCCTTCTTGAGTGTTAATTGATCACTCAAAATATTAGGAAGGGAATGCTATTTCTTTCTTGGTAACTAATTCCCTAGTGTCTTTCATGATCAGCATCATCAATAAATTTATCAATCGCTTGTTAATTATTCTGATTAATTTCTAAAAGATTTTTTGAGAATTTTTCTTGTGTTTTTTTATAAGGTCTGCGTATACGTAATATTTCTTTCTAGAGCAAAAATATTACACATACGCCATGTATAACATTTATAAAGGGGAAAATAATATTTAGATGAACTTCTAAGAGAATGAATTTGTTGGATTTTTTGTGAATTTTTGGTAGTGTTTTTTGTATAAGGTCTGCGTATAAGTAATATTTCGTTTTAGATCAAAAATATTACGCATACGCCATGTATAACATTTATAAAGGGGAAAAGTAAAATTTCGATGAACTTCTAAGAGAATGAATTTGTTGGATTTTTTGTGAATTTTTGGTAGTTTTTTGTATAAGGTCTGCGTATACGCAATGCGTATACGTAATATATCATTCCTAAGCAAAAAATATTACGCATACGCCATGTATGACATGTTTAAAGGGGAAAAATAATGTGTTAGCTGTTTGCTTGAGGCAAAATTAAAGATTATTAAATTATTTAGAAAGTTCGTCTGGGAAAACCATAAAAGAACAAATATTTCAAGCTTTTGAAGGGAAATAAGGAGGTGAAAGGGAGCCTTTAGATAGATTTAAAGTCTTAGTAACCGCTAACAATTGTTTTATATGCTTCCCTCCTCTCTTTGCTTCCAGTTTGGGCGGCAGTGGTCCTGTGATCTGGTCGTACTTTGCCGAATTCCAACCGAAGGCCAAGCGTGGCTCCATGTTGAGCTTCATGGCCGCCTTCTGGACATTCGGTAATTTGTTCGTGGCCAGTCTGGCCTGGCTGATCATCCCCACCAGCATTGGCTTCATAACGCCGTACTTCACATATAACTCGTGGCGCATCTTCCTGTTGGTCTGCTCGCTGCCCTCGTTCCTGGTCGGCTTCCTGCTCTTCTACCTGCCCGAATCGCCCAAGTTCCTGTTGACGCGCGGCAAGAAGGACCGCGCCCTGGCCATCTTCCGTGGCATCTTTGTGACGAACACGAAGCGCCGCCCCGATGAGTACATGGTCTACGACCTGGAGGTGGACGAGAAGCTGCTGGAGAGCTCGGCGAATGGGAAGAACAAGTATTCCAGGATGGTCAGTGGCATGGTGGAGCACAGTCGCGCCCTGTTCAAGTCACCCATCCTGCGCTTCACCATCGTCTCGATCACGATCAACTTTACATTCCACATTGGCTACTACGGCCTGTTGATGTGGTTCCCGGAGCTCTTCAATCGTTTCGAGGAGTACGAGAAGGCCTTCCCGGGCAAGTCCGCCGGCGTCTGCACGGTCACCGATTATGTGGTCAGCATTGCCAACGAGGAGAGCAGCAATGGCACTTGCTCCTCGGAGATACCCCAATCGGTGTTCATGGAGTCACTCATCTCGCTGGCCTCGGCCCTGCCCGCCAATCTGCTGGCCATCCTTGGCATGGATATGCTGGGAAGGAAGTTCTTCCTCATTGCCGGCACCATGACCGCCGGCATCTGTTCGGCGCTGATGTACTTTGTGCGCAGCTCTGTCCAGAACCTGGTCGTCTCGGCCATCTTCAGTGGCGCCATTTCGGCGGCAAATGCGGCCCTCGACTGCCTCATCACCGAAGTATTCCCCACCAAGCTCCGGGCCACCGGTGTGGCCATCTCCATGGTGGCAGCCCGTCTGGGCGGCATCATAGGCAACATTGTGATTGCCCAGCTGCTGGACAACTATTGTCCCTCGCCGACATTCATCGTTTCGGGTCTGCTCATCGGTGGCGGCCTCATGTGCCTGCTCCTGCCCAACACGACGCGCAAGGAGCTCAATTAATCACAATTACACCAATCCCAATCCCAGCCCCAATCCAATCCAAGTCACTAATAACTTATCAAGAAACAGTCTACCCATTCTCAGAAAACGGATATAAGGTATTCAATCTTTAAAGACTCGGCGGATGGGGTTATAAAGATGTTATAAATCCATATCTGGGAGATATTTAAAGATGATATCTCTAAGATATTCTTTAACACTTTTCCTAACCGCATCTGTTAGATCTTTAATCTTTAATCATATATCCGTTTTTATTGTTTTTTTTTTTTCTATCTCTCACCCCAAAATCGGCAATAGTAGAACCCATTAATTTTTTTTTGCAAAACCCATTAGTAATTTCCAATTTGTTTGGCCGCCTCGCCACATAAAGCGGGGCACATCCTGTGTATATATGGTGTGTGTGCTACAATACACGATTATTTGTATCGTCAGTAATTAATTAACGATAGCGTTAACGATAAATCTATCTACCGATATAATCTATATATCTTTCGGAATTTAAACGACCAAAACACAAAACCAAAATCGCCACTGGCAGCGCTGAAAGTGTCCATCTGAAGGAGCCCCCCCAAGTATTCCAGCTAAGTTTTAAACCAAAAAACTAAAAAAAACAATAACTAAAAAATATATATAAATATAAAGAGAACATGAAAAGAATGTCGATAGACAATAGGCGATAGACCTCAGATGGCGCCTTCCCTCGCTGGCCAGTTCGATGTAGAAGAAAACCCCAAGCCAGCGAGAAGATATAGCAGGTAGGATCGATTGCGATCGATGTACGATATGTATTTTGAGCAGTAGCGATAGTGAGTAATATATACAATCTATAATATATATTATATTTTGGCAAGCGCCGGCGCCGGCTGAAGCAGCAGGCAAAGCAGCGAGGGGCTGGCCAGGGTCCAGATCCAGGGGATTCCCCGAATAGAAAAGATCTAAGAGATAGATCTGAGAAATCAGGATCCGGCTGAGCCCCCGCTTCCACCCTGCTGTCCGTTATTGTTGTTATTATGTAAAACACATACGTATATAACTTTATCTAAATATTAAACATATATTATCTACCAAGAAAACCCATTTTCTATAACATATACATAATACACACATAATATATATGTATATCTATACTATGTCTTTTTTTTGTTTTTTTTTTCGTCGTCATGTAGGACCAAAGCACAGGAAGTGAAAGAATATTTGTAAAATTTAGTTACGTTATTAAAAGTTACGCTACATATATACAAAACATACAACAAAACCCCCAATAAAAAAATGATCAAACCTCAAATAAAAGATGTTCTTACTAAATGTTTCAAGGGGGGAAAGATGGGAGATACATCTCCGTACATCAGTTGTGAAAATTTCAGACTTAATCTTGATCTATTCTTATAAAAATCAACCAACTGTCCTCATCGCACATCTGTGCAATATAACACGCGACTTGCCTAATAATCTTTATTTGCTCAACGAATATCGCCGGAAAAAGGAAATATTGACGGGGCCAGGGTAAGCGTTAATTAAATAAATACATTTCCCCGAACCCCCAACACAATAGGTATTTGTGTTTATTTATCCGAACTAAACTAAACAGAACTGGACGACAGTGCATGACTGTCCGTCTCAAAGAGATTCGCCGACACTCTAATAAAATAGATAATATAAATATGACATATATAAGATATTCAGTGGAGAGGATAGATCCTAACTAGATCAACACGTGCAAACACACAACAGCTTCGTGCGTGTGTCCAATGTTTCAGTTCATAAATAGATACAAATCCCAAAACGAATTTCAATGCTGATTTGCGTCTGAATTGTGAGAAATATTAAGCAATTTTCGATCCACAAAGCTATAATATATGCCATAAAATATTAAATCGCGAATTCAGAACAATTTGCTGGTGTCAAATAAATCTTTTGCCACAGAGAAATCGATGAAATGTCTTTACTTTTGGTTGGTGAAAATAAACACTCAATGAAACTTTGCAGATAGTCTTCTATATACTCTCACTCTTATGAGTCGGAATGATAGGACAACTATATCATTTAGCTGCCACAAGAATGATCGGTAAATGTTTAGAAAAAAATTATAACTTTTACAGTTTGTAACATATTTTTATCTATGGCCAGTAAGTACTTATAATCTGTAAGTAACATTAAGTAACTCTGAACAGTAAGTATCTATGACTAGTAAGTATGTATATATGATCAGTTACTAACTTTGAACACTTGTAAACAATGACTTGCAACTTTTGTAACACAACACATATCTGAACCTCGGCCGGCAGCAGTCACTTCGTTCCGGGGATGTTAGAACAAGTTGGGAATCATAAATACAGATGTGCGAGATTTGTTTCGGAACAAATTTAAGCTATTTGAATGAAACTATGAAGTTATTATTCTAAATAATATTACAAGTATATAAATCGGAGCATGCCGAATCGGTGGACTATATATATACATATATATCTGACATAGGAACAATCGGACGATTTATAGAACTATGACAAGTAATTAACTATAATCACTAATTAACTATGAGCAGTAAGTAACTCTGAACATTGAGTAACTATGATCAGTAAGTAACTATTATTAGTAAGTATCTATGACCAGTAAGTATGTATGATCAGTAAGAATGTATAATTAGTAAGTATGTATGATCAGTTAATAACTTTGAACAAAAGTAAATAATATTTATGTATGTATGATCAGTAATTATCTATGAGCAGTAACTAACTTTGAACACTTGTAAACAATGACTTGCAACTTTTGTAACACAACACTTTTCTAAGACTCGGCCGGCAGCAGGCACTTCGTTCCGGGGATGTTAGAACCAGTTGGGAATCATAAGTATAGATGTGCGAGATTTGTTTTGGAACAAATTTTAGCTATTTGAACCAAACTATGGAGTTATTCTTCTATATAATTTTACAAGTATATAAATCGGAACATGCCGAATCGGTGGACTATATATATACATTTATAGAGCTGCTATAGGAACGATAGGAAAATTTTAAGAAAAAAATCATAACTTTTCCAGTTTTCGACAGATTTTAATATTAATCTAGAATTTGGTGTAAAGTTTTATAAAAATCGGACTTTCATATAATATAGCATTTATACAAACGATCGTTAATAATAGAGGAAAATTCAAAATGGTGAATGAAATAAAAGCAGGCAATACTTTATTGTTTTTTAACGCAAATATATATAATTTATATTGAATTAATTCCTAGTGATTGAATTTCAATCTGCAAGGGTATTCAAAGTTTGCTTCCTTTCTTGTTTGAGTTGATATTTATTAATCATTTCTATGACAATTTTCCTATAAGTCAAAGCTTAAGAAACTCATAACTAAGCCAAAAATTGATTAATTTTAATTCGGAAAGCAGTCAAGTGTTAGTTTTTAATAGGGTAATAAATCTGCATACTCAAATCATAATTTAAAATAATTTAAAATTTTGCCTATTTTTGACCATTTCATTTATGGATAAAAACCTTATAAAATATTGAAAAAAATTCTCAAAAAACGTTTTCCTCCAGAGAAGGCTAAATCGATTCTGCTGTTCATGCTGATCAAGAATATATATGATTTATAGGGTCGGAAATGACTCCTTCGTAAATTATAAGCTTCTGACTAAAATTATAATACCATTTGTTGAGGCGATATTTATCAATATTTTTATATGAAAAATTTTCCTACTAGTCAAAGCTTAAAAAACTCATAACTAAACCAAAAATTGATTAATTTTAATTCGGAAAGCAGTCCAATGTTAGTTTTCAATAGGTTCATAAATCTGCATACTCAAATCATAATTTAAAATAATTTAAAATTTTGCCAATTTTTTACCATTTCAATTATGAAAAAAAACCTTATAAAATATTGAAAAAAATTTTCAAAAATTGTTTTCCTTCAGAGAAGGCTAAATCGATTCGGCTTTTGATGCTGATCAAGAATATATATGATTTATAGGGTCGGAAATGACTCCTTCGTGAGTTATAAGCTTCTGACTGAAATTAAAATACCCTGCAAGGGTATAAAAATAAAACAAAAATCAATTGATTTGCCACCGAGCAGAGACTTGATCTTGCTCTTAATCTTACTGATCTTGTTAAACAATTAAAATATAATTGTTTTCTAAAATTTCTTTAATTTTAAAAACCATATTTTATGGCAATCATTAAGAAAATAAGATTGGCAAAGCCTTACAGATATAGCAATAGGCCAAATGCTTTATCTAATCTTTACCCAAAAACTAAATAACACAACACATTTGTTCTTTTTTTCAAATGGAATATTTAATAAAAATATACATATATATAGAGCATGTTTCATATATATATATATTCTGCTACATTTATGTAATCATATATAATGTCCTTGTTTTTTTTAGTTTTGTTTTTTCTCTTCCTTTATATGACATTTTGGAATGATTATTTGTTTATGCATTACATCAGTTTCTCTCTAGGTGTGTGTGTGTGTGAATGTGTGTATGTGGTGTGTGGGTGTCAGATTTAATCGCTACATAGGCACGTCAGTTCTATTTGTTTGATGCTGCTTGCAATGGATCCTTACGAGTATATACGTTTTTAATATATTTATTTTTACTTTTAACTAAACGATATTCTTCTTTGTATTTCATACAAAAAAAAAGATACATAATTCTATGATTATTTTTTAAAAGCTGCTTCTAATAAATACAAAAAAAAAAGTAAAAAAAAAAAAAAGAACAAATTACTTCATCAGTGTAATTTGCGTATTTAAACGTTACATATTTGTTTATGGTTATATATTATATATATATATATATTTATATTTATATAGAGTAATGCATATAGAAAATACTTTGCACAGTTCGTTAGCCCGCTTGCGCTTAGTGGTGTGTGTGTGTGTGTTTGGTGTGTGTGAGGGTTTGTTGGAGGGAGGGAATCATTTATAGAGTGGATTGATTGTTGAAAAAGCAGTTACAATTTCAAATTGTAGCAAAATTAAAATTATTAATTACTAAACAAAAAATTAAAAAAAATATATATATTTCAACTTTTACTCTTACTCTTTCGCTCTCTATGTCTCTATCTCTTTTGCTCTATGCTTAAAAGCCTTAAAAGCTATCCAAAAATAAATCGCAGGACAAATGCAATTCTTCTTTTGTTTCAACAAAAATGGAAATTAAAATAAAATATCTGCTAAATTGTCTGTAAATAAATACAGTTCTGAGTCCTCCATGTCTTGTTTTTTGCTTTGTTCTTTTGTGGGTTTTTTTCTCTCATTTTTTACTAACAATTGGCTACGATGTGTATTTTTGTAATTCTCTTTCGTTTTTTGTAATCTTTTACTTAATATTTTTATAACACTGATCTCTGGTCTTGCCTCCACATCAAATGGGGCTTGGATGGAGGCTGGCTTAGTGTTTGGAATTGCACGAGGAGCATTTTGCTGCATTGCACGGAAAATGAAGTTGGGAATTATAAGCAAGCTGCACAACCTTCTCTCTGCTTTCCTGGCTAATGTTTAACATTTCTCTGCTTAAAACCGCTTTCAGCTTTTCTGCATTTCTGCTCCGGTTTCTAGTTAATAATTGCACTTATGTCGCTAGTTTCCCTCTTTAAACCTGGTCTAGCTGCTGCTTTGTTCTGCTTCCTTGTCTTGTTCTGATTGTTTAATTACTCGTGCTTTGATGCCTTCAATAATTTAACTAACTTAGAGTTCAGTACTGAATAATGCCATCAATAAATATGTATATGTGTATGTAATGTAGGTGTACGACTAACATAATTAGAACTACCGGCTAAATGTGTGTTTTTCTTGTTTTATCTTCTTTTTTTTTTGGGTGGAAGAAGCTGCTCAACGGGTAAAAGGAAGGGCTCTACGAATGGTTCCTCGTTTTGGAATGGGCATGTGTGTGTATATATGTATACATATATATACATATATGGGATATACCTGTGTACATAAATCTAATACAGAATCGTACAATATATATCTATCTCATATCGGTTACAAAATACAAATAAGAAGTTGTTCTTTCTCCTCCACAGCAAATACTATATAAAAAATACAAGTTAATGTGTTTCGATTCATGTGTGATACATATATATACATATTTGTATATATATTCATATGTGTATGCAGTTGCAACGAAAACAAAAGAAAAATAAAAGCAAACTTATGAAACGAGAGAATATCAAATCGAAACGGAACGAAACAAGAGACTGTTGATCTAAAAATTAATTTCCTTTCATCAATAAACCTACAAACTCTCTCTTTCTCTTTCTCTATCCCTTCTCTCTCTCTCTCTCTCCCTATCCGTCCTTCCTGGAAATTGTTGCAAGTTTAATTTCTTTCTTTCCTTCACTTCAAACCCATGTGTAGTGTCTAGATCTACACGGCTGCTGCTGCTTATTCAACGCGTAAAGGCACTCAGAAAGTGTGGCCCACCCATGTCAAACTGCTGCGGCTCATAACCATCATCAGCGGGTAACCCAAAGCCACTACCGGCGGGAACTCCTCCACCTCCGCCGGGGACTCCTGGTACTCCTCCTCCTGTCAAACTGGCAGCCGCTGCTGCTGCCGCCGCTGCCGCTGCCGCTGCAGCTGCAGTGGCCGCTTTAAGCTGACTTATAGCCAACATGGGCGGCTTATCGCCCGGCTTCCAACGGCGATGAATTCCCATCGATTTGAGCTTCTGGCAGACGGACGAGGGCGATATATTGATGCCTTTTTCGGCCAAGCGTGCAGATACCTTCCAGTACTGTATATTGCTATCCTCCTTAATTAGCTCGAGTATTTCACGCGTGATCTCCTTGTCGCGCAGCTCGCGTTCGGCGGCCTTTAGACGACGTCGCGGATGCAGCGCCTTCGCTTGCTGTTGATAGTGATGTGATGTATCTGCCGCAGATACTGCTGCTGCTGCTGCTGCTGCTGGAGGGTGGTGACGCATCTGTTGCTGCTGCTGCTGCTGAAGCAGCAATTCCTGCTGCTGCTGCTGCTGTTGCTGCTGACGCTGCTGCTGTTGCTTGATCATCTCCATTTGCTCTAGCTGCTGGCGCTGTAACTCTTGCTGCTGCTGAAGCTCTTGCTGGCGTTGCTGCTGCTGCTGCAGCTCCTGTTGGCGTTGCTCAAGCTGCTGCTGTTGCTGCTGTTGTTGCTGCTGCTGCTGTTGCTCCTTGGCCGTCATCTGCTCCTCGGCATGCCTGCCATCGGCTCGCTTATTGCGATACGAGAGCGGCACTCCCTTGAGAATGGCATCGCGCACTTTCCAGGCCGTCATCTGGGATACATTGAGAGCTCGCGCTATCTCCATGGTCGATGAATTTTGGGCCACCAACAACTTGGCCATGGCATACTTTTCATCATCTATAAAAACGTTCGGCTTGCGGGGCTTCTTGCCGGTTGGCGTGGTCGTTGTGGACGAGGAGGAGGCCGCAGCAACGGGCGGAGGAGCTGCAGTGTTGCTGCTGGAACTGCCATTGCTGTGGAGGATATTAAATATTAGCATGATCTATCTGCTACGAGAACACACACTCACCTTTCGTTGCTGTTCATGTGAGGCGGCATGGAGCGCAGAGACAGGTTGACGGGCAAAGCGTGCCTGTGAGGATTTAATTAAATTGTACAATTAAAATCAACATTTTAAACATGTATAAATATATGTAATGCTTACATAACGGTGCTTGGATAACGTCTTAGCATGGGCATTCCTCCATTGTGTGCCTTTTGCTGATGATGCTGCATCTGCTCCCGTTCCCGCTCCCTTTCCCTCTCCCGTTGCTGCTGCTGCTGCTGTTGTTGCTGCAACTGCAACTGCTGGGCATTGACAATGTGGGGAAAGTGCTGGGATTCGGCCAACAGACGCTTGTAGGCCTCAACTTCCGGACGCGTGACCGCATGGACTTGCACCGGAACTGGTACCGCTGGCGAAATCGAACCGGGACGACGCCCATTGGAATGTCGCTCATTCTCGGTGGTGGCGGTGGTGCCCTCGAAGGGATCATGCTCAATGGGATCGGAATCGGGATCATAGCCATTGTGGAGCAATCCGGAAACGGCATCCTCATCGCCCATATAGCCGGCAGTCTCCTCGGCTCCAATCTCGTCCGCTCCGTATTCGTCCATCAAACCGATTTGGTGGTGGTGCTGTTGCTGATGGTGATTCTGCTGCTGCTGCTCATCCTCGCTATCCTGCTGCTCCTCCTTGATGAGGCCCAGTCCCAGGTGGCCATATGGCAGGTTCAAATGCTGATGCTCTCGCTCACGCTCGCGCTCCAGCTCCTCTTGCTTATGGACTTGCTGCTGTTGCTGCTGCTGGTGATGATGGTGTTGCTGCTGCAACTGCTGGAGGTGCTGTTGCTGCTGGTGTTGCTGCTGCTGATGTTGATCCTCTTGGGAAGGATCCACCACGCGCTCGTGCAAGCTGACCCCATTGACCAAACTCTTGCGCAGGCGCCAGGCAAATGTGCGCGAAATGTTCAGTTCGTTTGCAATCACCGTGGTGGTGGCCTCGCGCAATATCAGCTGCTTGGCCAGAGCAATCTTCTTGGCATCCAGCTTGATGCGAGTGCGTCCCTTGCGCTTGTTCACTAAGCCCAGCCTGAGAAAGATAGAGGAATTAAATGTTAGAGCGGGATCCTTACAGGCTTCTAATAGTTCTTACTTGCGATTGTTAATCACATGAAGCTCAGGAGCTATGGGCTTGCGTGTTGCTGCTGCACCTCCACCTCCTGCAACGCCACCTCCCGCAGCTATACGCTTGGGAAAATTATTAAACTGCACTATATTTTGCTTAAACAGCTGCTGCAGGGGCCTAAAGTTATAGATAAATAATATAAATAATACAATTTCAAGCAGTTAACTAGAGGAAACTCACATCTTGGCCGCCTTCGAAGGACATCCTGTGCGCTTGTGCCAGCCAAGATGATGGCCCGTTGGAAAGAGAACATGGCAATCCGAGCACTGCATGGGACGACTGATCCAGAAGAAAAGATATAGACTATATAAAAACCAAGGAATAGTGGAACTTACGTTTGATTGCGACGCTTCTTGACGCAACGGCCACGGCGGATATGCTTCTCCAGGAAGCGTTTGTAGAAGTAGGTCTTGCGGCAATTGCTGCACTCGTACACCGGTCCCGGGGCACCATGCACGCTCTGCATGTGCGCCTTGAGGATCTGCCTCATCTCGAAGATCTGATAGCAGTGCGGGCACTGGAAACCCGGTCCACCCAATCCCTGGACCACGCCGTTGATTGCCAGGCCGTTGCCTTCTGATGGCGGTGGCTCATCGCCCGGCGTAATAAGCTCAATCTCTGGTATCAGCGGCAGCGACATATCCTCATCGTCGTCATCAACGTCGTCTTGTTGGTTATGCAACTGCTGCTGCTGCTGGTCAAGATCAAGGTCCATATCCTGGCCCGTCTGGCCATTGGGGAACTTGTTCATCTGATGCTGCATGTATTCCTGCATCAGCCGGATCGAGTTAATGTCGAACGGCGGGTCCTTAGAATGCACACCATGGACGGTAATCTCACCATCGTCATCGGTGTGGTGATGGTGGTGTTCCAACGGATTCAGCTCCTCCATATCATCTGGCTTGCCTACGACCAACTCTACGCCGTTGCGCTGGCCCTCCTCCAGCTCCTCATCTTCGTCCTCTTCGACTGCTTCCAGATCGTTATCGTTATCCTGCTCATCCTGATCCTGATCCTGATCCTGATCCTGATCCTGATCATCTTCTTCCCCACGATGGCCATTAATGCCATGGCCATTGGGCAAACGCTTGTGCGGAGCACCGCCTCCGGCATTGTCTTGTTCGTTATCATTGTCCTCCTCCTCCTCCTCCTCCTCATCATCGTCGGAGGAGGAACTGCTGCTGGTGGAGCTGCTGCCGCTGCCACTGCTGCTACCGCTGCCGCTGCTGCAGCCACTGCTCTTGGCCTGGTCGACAGCAGCGGCGGAGCTAACCTCCAACGGATCTACGCCCTCGATCTTCTGTCGACGGGACAGCAGTTGCTGGCGATAAAAGTGGTCCGCCTCCTCGCACTTCTTTTTCAACTGGCATGCCGAGATGGTCAGCTGGGCGCAGTCTACGCATACCTGCTGCGGCAGGGTATCATTTTTGCTGATCTGAGAGCCAGAAAATCAAGGGTTAGGGCAACTTTAACTGTAGCTAAAAGGGATTAGCCTAACCTAACGGGTAACGGTTTCCTAATTCCTGGCGTTGCCAGATCTAACCAACTAAAGGAGCGCATTAGGACATTACCAGCACCCTAGTACCGTTACATGAATTAATGACTAGAAGCAGAGGGAGAGAGAGATAGAGAGAGACAACATATGGAATTCCTTGAATTGGCAACATAATCTACTCAAGTGGGAAAATTGCACAAATAAACCAGAAAATTGCAGCATTTCAAACGATTTGAGGAAAAGCACACTCCACTCTACCATACATAAGGAGAAAATCAAATTGAAATATGCACATGAATTGGAAACACAAATGCGAATAATGTAAGGGGGGTGGTGGTGAGGGGGCGAGGGAGTGGGGCGAATAAGCAGCACACACACACACACACACACATAATGGAGTAAAGCAGTGCAAACACACTGAGAGAGCCACCCCATTCACATTCACGTGCTCTGCTCCCCGGCTCCCCGGCTCCACCTCTCACCCCTCTCACTACACCCTCCCCCTTGCTTCAGGGGCCAACGAACGTCTAAGCCGAAAGCAACAACCACAACAAACAACGGGAGTTGGGAAGCGGGAAGTGGCAAGTGGGGACAAAGAGAGCTTAGGGAGACGGAAGAGCTAAGAGAAGAGAAGAGAGTCAAGACACCGCATAAAGTTGTAAAGTAAAGGAAAAATGTATGGAATTAAGTCAAACATATGAATTATACATACAAAAAAGAAAACAAACACAACCGGGGGAAATATACACTTCTATTCAAGAAGAAGAAAATGATGATGAAAAGGAGGTGGTAAGGGGGGGAGGTTGGGAGGTGGCATACAACAATTCAAACGGTAAATTATTTTACAAAAGCCAAAGGGAAAAGGCAAAGCAAGAAGGAAACCCAACGAAATGAAATGAAATAAAATGAAGAAATACGAAATATGTATAAGACAAGACAAGAAGAAATTCCATCGAGCGGCGACGACGGCGACGGACACAAATATGAAATGCTCGTTGAAATGAAATGGAAAAAATTGTATACACAATATGAATAAAATAAACTAACCAAAAGCCATACCAAAACCATAACCAAAACCGAAGCCAAGCCGCCGAACAAATAAACAGAATAAATGGCCAAAGAGAGGAGTGGAGCTGGAAGCAAGCAGCGCAACAAGACAAAGCAATGAAAACTGATTCCAAATTACATATGTACATATATGTATCTATATCTATATCCACATCGTATATACACCCAGCGAATGTGTATGAAAATTAATATGAATAATAAATACGTGTGTTCCATATGTGTATGTGTGTGTGGTGTGAATAACTTTCATGTTTCTTTTTTTTTAGTTTTAGTATTCCAGTATTCCACGAAGAAGAACTGTTTGGATGTACACAACAACAATCTTGGATTACAAACAGACAGACAGTGGGTGCAAATAGGCGACACACCTTATAAAAATGGGCAAAGAAAATAAACAGAAACCCGAAAACCGAAACAGAAGCAACCAACTATTATCTTCCACTGGAAGGGTTTATAAATCGAAGAGCCGCCTCGAAAATAAATACACAAAAACACACACACACTTCCTGACTTCGAATTATTATTATTGTGGCTTTTAAAATATACAAAACAAACATACATTCGCTCTCTGTTGTATGGAATTCAAATTAGGATCCATCTAATGTGCAAACAGTTCGAAGAAGAGCTTTTCGAATCAAATTCGGAATCAATAGGATGGAATGTTGGGGAGAGGGGAAGCAAATATTGAAATCAATAAATAAACAGTGACCGTCGAGCTTCTCCAGAAAAAATATGTGATCGCAAGAAAATAATATAATCTGCGAGTAACAAAAAAAAAAAAAAGGTTTTATTTCGCATATGTTTTTGGCATGGATAAACCTATGATTAGGAAATTGTCACATTTCTTTGAAAATATTACAATTTTGTGCTGATTACAAGCTGTTCCTAAATATTAATTTAGCAATAAATCACAATTAACTTATTTAATTAAAAAAACCCACTGTAGCTGTGTGACAATTCCACTGCAAGTCTTGACCTTCACAGCTCACCCTATCTTGCTCTTAGCTTCTTTCTCCCCCTTTCCCTTCCTTTTCTCTCCATCGTTTTTCTTGCTGCTTTGACTTCTTAATGTTAGAATCACTCAACATCCTCCCCCCTTGCCCGGATGCTAGTCCCCCTTGAGTTCTCTTTCGCACACATTTAGCCTCTCTTCTTTCTTTCTTTACTTAGCTTTTCTTAAGGTTTTCGCACTCACCTTGACGTTGGCCAGCGTGGTAATCTTCTGCCAGAGCGCATCCTCGCCGAAGATGGGAATCATTTGCGCAATGGTGGCGGCATTGTTGTTGCTATTACTGTTGCTATTGTTGTTGTTATTGTTGTTGTTGTTGTGGTGGGTGGTAATACAGATGCGACACAACTGTGGACTTCCGCCCGCCGCCTCCTGTTGCTGTTCGCTCTCCATCCTGCAGAGGGCGAACGGGAACTGGAACGGAAACGGGGGGGTAACTGGAACGGGAGCAACAGGAACAGGAAGCAACGATGATAGTGGTGTGACCGTAACCGCTAGCCATCAACTGCATCCCGTCCCTCTTCCTCAGACTCCTCTAGTCTCTTCTGCCAGCTTCCTTGCCTTGCCTCACCCACAGCTCTCAATCGTGGATGAATCGAAGAGAGGGGTGTAGGGGGTGTAGAGTGAGCAGAGCCGGCAACAAGTGGCACGTGAGAGCGAACTTGGGGGGGGGTTGCGTATTGCGGTACACCGTTTTGCAGGAACGACCGGGAATGCGGAGGAACACAGGAACGTTCGCTTGGACCGACGACGGTTGGCAAACTGAAATGAAATGGGAATGAGAGCAGAACAAGAAAACTATTTATTAATAATGGGCATAAACAACGAAAATGTGTGTACAAAATGGGGGGGGGGGGAAAAAACAAGAATAAGCTAAATAACAACAACAAAGGAGAAATATATATGATACCGGAGCCGGAGAGCTCAAGACGCAAAGAAAACTAAATAAGAGTTAACAAAACAACGACCGACAAACTAGAAAATAAATGTGAAAAATAAAAACAACACACATATACAGAGAGACAACACAATGGCAGCCACACACATACACACTCTCCTTGCTACATACAAACACATATTTATTGTGTGGATTTCAAAACACAACAAAAACAACAAAACAATTCTTACTGTCGTTGCCGCATACAAAAGTTATGAACTTGATACACACACAGATACACTCACATACTTGCATACAAAAATAAAATTACACAAAAGAAAACAAGTCGAAACTAAAAAATAACATTCACACGCACACAGTTACACGGCGAGATACACAAGCATACACATACAGTGACAAGAGAGAGACACGAACAAATAATAATAGCAAAAATCGTAACGAAACGAAATGAAATAAAACTTTATATCTATGCAAGCAAGCAAGGGGGAGGGAGAGCGGGTGGGCGGTGGAGATACGGGGACAGAAGACAAAGCTCACACACACACACACACACAAAGTACGACAATAAATTTATATGCTAGCTCTCTTTCGCTCATTTATGGAATGCGACAGGAGGAGGATGAGGAGGAGGAGGAGGAGCAGGCGGGAGACCGCAAAGGGACGGGGGAATTGCTGTAATTTAGTTGAGCAATTAAGTTTACTTCGCCATTCGCCATTCGCTGTCGATAAACGCATCTCGATCAATAAATCACAACAAGTCATCGATAAGCGAGCCTGGCCAGCTAGCTGAAAAGCGAAAAGTCATCGAACTATCGATGTTTCCATTCCATTTAACTCCCCCACCGACCCCGACCCCTCAACACTTTAACAGCAACCTTACCTTTCCTCCTATCCCCCCCCCTCACACCCCCCTCACACTTTCCACGGTTTCATCTTCTTTCAACTGCAAAGCACAAGGTGAACGAACGGAAATGGGAAAATGCGTGGAACAAAACACAGAACCGAACACAGAATAGCAAAAAGCAAAAACACACACAGAACACCGAACAAATTCCAAATGCAATTCAAGTTCAGCAATGGAATGCAAAAATTCTCAACCAGTTTCTGAGTGCAAAAAATTATATCCAAAATACAGGGGGGGGGGAGGTAGGGAGAAGGTGGGTGGCTAGGGAGGGAGTGCAGTTGAGAGGTGGAGAGTCCTAGGCACATGAGTTTGCAAATTGAAATTCTGTTTTGATCTCTTGCAAGATCTCTCTCCTGTTGCACATCTCACTGCCAGCAAAAAGAGAGAGGGAACAAGAACGAGCCCAGGCTCTAGCCTAGAGAGAGAGAGAGGAGGGAGTGAGAATAAGAGCGGAGGAGAGAGCGAAAGGCAACAGCACCTGGAAACTGGAACTGGCAAAAAGACGAAAGCAATTTGCAATACATATTTGTATAACGAGTGCTTTATGGCTACAATCCTCCCTTCTCCACCCACTCCACCTCCTCACCCATTGCAAAAGAAGACCATTATTACAGGGTTTAACATGCACATTTTCCAAGTACTGGAAATATCCTGGAACTATTCCTTTCTTACTTCCACTTTTCTATATTTTGGGAATTTCTAGTAGGACCTCACAGTCTTATACATTATACAAGACTATACCCCCATAAAAAGCTCGGCTTTAGAATATCCAATCTATGTTCTAGAATATCTTGCACAACTCATAAAACGATCCTTTTTATTTTAAGAACCCAAATTGTATTCAAAAGTTCTTTATACTAAGTCCATCTCAAAACTCAGTTTGTTTCAATTCGAATTTCGAAACATACCATCATCCATCTATATAATAAAAACCAAGCCGACTTTTTATTACATTCAATTTTGTATGTGAAACAAAACTCGTTTAAATTCCATAAATAATCTTGAAAAGAAACTTGAATTCGGTGTGAGACAGATACAGATGTTGGTTGGGATTATGGAAGTTCGACTCGGTGTATATATGAATAGTTTCCATGTCTGTAAGAGGCCCGCATATGGAGCTCCACCATCAATTACCATTTCAAGTCACAGTCAGACATTGTTTAGAGTTTTAAAATAAAAATTAAAAATAAAATGGAACCCATATAAAAGGCGCGAGACAATACAATGGTAATGGTGGTGGAAACCGCCGCGGTTTAAGGTTTATAACACAAACACACACATGCGGTATATCCATATATATGAGGAAATATTTGCGGACTGAGATACAATTTATAACAAACGAAATGCTTATTACCTATGAACGGAGGGAGTTACAAGAGAGGTGCGTAAGAGCGGAGGCGGAAAAGCGTCGTCGTCGTCGTCGTCGAAAGAGTCAAGAAACTCGGCGGTGGATTTTCTGTTTCTGCACAAACTAAACAAAAACTTACATTTCTGCAGAGAGAAGAGCGAGCCAGCCCCAAGTCCAAGTCGAAGTAGAAGCCGCAGTCGCAGAGCAAGCAACCCACCGACCGACCGACCGACCCAACCGAAGCTCCAAGCGAACCGAACCGAACCGAACCGAGCCGAGCCCCAACACCGAACCCGAACCCGAACCCGAACCCGAACCCCAAGCCGAACCCCGAACCCCAACCCGACCGCGAATGAACAAACTATGGAAACGACTCTACAACTATTCAAGAAGTCGACGAGAAAGCAAATACACACTACTTACACTTACTATCCCCCCACCATCTCCCATCATAGACATGTGTGCTGGTTTGTTGGTTCACCTCCACTCACACACACTTACACTATGCGCGCCTGAGACTTAAAACTTTGTTATTTCTCTTTTTATGATTATTTTAGCTATTGTACAGTTCCACAGAAAATTTATACACCGCACACGAACCGCGGAGCAACTTACAAAGGGGGAGGCATGGAGGGATGGTGGTACCTCGCATACAGACATAGAATTTAATATTTCTGAGCATATTTGCGGACGGAATGGAATGGAATAGAGCTATGGAGCTAAAGAACAAGAACGCAAACGCAAGCGCTAAGAAGAACACGAAGCCGAAGAGGCACATCTACTAGAAGAATTGAAGACTCTGAGCAAGCAGAGCGATGACAAAGTAAACGCTTGTGTGTACGTAAGGTTGTGTGTGTGCGAGTACTAGATAAATTCTTAATGCTGTCGTTGACTTAGAAAGTATTTCAAATAATGAAAGAAGGCTAAAGTAGATACACAAGCATAAGTTTTCTACGGGGAATATTTTTCCCTTTCTTTTTTTTTTGCTTTACAGAATAACATTTTCTTGATGAAGATCACAGAACAGATCAAGAACCCCAAGCAGTGCAGGCAGAAGACTCAGACCAAGCAGTGCACGCCTTCCATGGCCTTGCATAACAAATTGCTGTGTTCATAATTGATTTGCGCCTCCTCCTCCTCCTCCTTCTTCTCCTGCAACCAAGCAGTGAAGGCAAGAAGAAAGAGCCGGAGTGAGAGAGAGAGAGATGAGAAGAGGGAAAGACAGTGAAAGAGGAGAGATTACACCGATTATGCAATGCCCCCAAAAGAATATCATTCCTCGTATCTACAACTCTCACAAACGTACGAACATGCATGGCAAAGATACAGTGATCGCTGCCAATTAGTAACTCGAGAATTCCAATAAGAACAATGAAATTTAAACAATTCCAATTAAAAAACAAACATATAAGTAATGTGATCATATTCCACCCTGTCTCGGTGCAAGTGGAATTTTGTTGTTGAAAGTCCCGAGACTCAACATAAGCAAATAATGATATACTGATTACAAATCCCCAAGTTTCAGAGTGTTTATAAATATTTCCGATCGGAGTCACCCAACTGAAGAGCTACTCTTGTTCATAAATCAAAATTATAAATCAAGATAAGACAACTTAAATAAGATTACCAAAATATTTCACCAAGTTGATAACTTTTGAAACTAAAGAGTGAGTGAAAAGGTTAAAGTAATTCCAATTCAAATTCAAGACAAGCAACTCTAATCTTCTTTAGGGTGCATTCTAAAGGGGGTCTCAAAAAGTGTTTCATTGACTCAAAGCCTCAAGCTATTAAGTGATCACTTAATCGAATAGCATCACTTAGCTAGGCCTGACTGTGCTGCACATTGAGACCTCTCATATAAGCCTCATGAGATGGGAGGTGGGAGGTGGGAGGTGGGAGGTGGGATCGAGGTGAGGCGAGGTTGGTAATTACAAACTCACGACAATGTGCGACGTGAACAATAATTTTACGTGTACTTGCAATAACAATAGCTCCGGAAGAAGACACACCAACATACACCAACACACACCAACACACACCACACTCACACACAGAGCCTGATTACAGTGGTCCCTGTCTGTGTGAGGAAATGTACACGCACACATGCCACATGTCTGTAAGTTGAACAACACAATATACATACATATAAAGAAAATAAGAGAAGATTGGAAAGATTGGAATGTGTTTGTTTAGTTTGTTTCTTCGCCCGTCAGTTGAGAGATATTAATTTCGATAGTAGCTCGATATCGATAGCTGTAGTTGGGGTATCAGGTTTATCTGATGATGTAAACAATTCGCCCCACTATATACAATACTATGCACAAATGCGAAGAAAACAAAACCCAGATGATAAACGCTGAGGTTTTCGTTTCGCGGAAATAGCCAAATAAATAATGCAATTACAAATTTCCCCAGAACTTTCACGAGAAAACAAAAATTAAATTGAAATTAAAGAAGAGCAGAGAGAATTGGAATGGAATGCGTGTACAAAAAGAAAAGTTCCAACGAAGACCAGAATAAAGCTGATAATACTAGTTTACACATAGTGACATATTTGGAAAAGATATACCTTTTATTTTATTTATTGTGTTTTGAACTTATATGCTTGAATA